GCCAGACGTTCCCTGAAACCATGGTCCCCACAGCCCTTGCAGAGGACTTTTTAAAAAAATATTCCCACTCTCCTGTGCCAAGGTTTTTGAAAGCCCCCCTACCTGGATATTCAGGACATTCTGGTTTATAGATCCTTCCTGAACCAGTGCTTCTCAAACAGCTCCAACTAAAGTATCTCTGACTCAACTCAGGGGAGAGAAAACACAAAACCCCAGGAACCTGGGAATCAAACCCAAGCAGCCTGCTGCAACCATAACATTATCTTCAAGCTTCCGGTTTTAAGCTTAAATTCATGCAAACTTTCGCCTTCCAGTCTATAATAGATCCAAAATGCATACCCACTGCTGCTGAGTTGATTCCCACTCACAGTGACCTTACAGGACAGAGCAGAACTGCCTCATAGGGTTTCCAAGGAGTGGCTGGTGTATTCTAACTGCTGACCTTTTGGTTAGTAGCCAAGCTCCTAACCACTGTGCAACCAGGACTCTGTAATAGATCCAGGTCTGTTTTAATATGAACATGCCTAAAACTGAGGAAGACTGAAGTGCCTGGAAGATGCAGAGATGCAGACCTCATTCAGTCTGTGGCTCTGACTACCCCACAGCACAGGACCCCAGCAGGGTCTGAGTACCCCACTGTGAGCACAGTCATAGCTTCAGCATTCTCTTCTGTAAAATGGGAATACTACTGTACTAGGTTAAACAGTGTTCCCCTAAAATTCACGTCCACCCAGAACCTGTGAATGTGATCTTATTTGGAAATAGGCCTTTGCAGATGCAATCAAGTTAGGATGAGGTCATACTGGATCAGGGTAGGTCCTAAATTCAGTATGACTTGTGTCCTTATAAGAAGAGACACAGAGAGATATGCAAAGAGACCACCGTGTAACAACCGTGGCAGAGATCAGAGTGACGTATCTACTCCAAGGAACACAAGGATTGCCGGCAGCCACCAGAAGCTAGGAAGAGGCAAGAAAGGATACTCTCCTAGAGCCTTCAGTGAGAACACGGCCCTGCTAACTCCTTGACTTTGGACTTCTAACCTCCATAACTGTGAAAGAATACACTTGTGTTGTTTTAAGCCACCAAGTTTGTGGTATTTTGTTACAGCAACTCTAGGAAACTAATACAACTACCCACGTCAATTCTATTCAATATCTACCAAACAAGGCAAGGTGAAATTACCAAGCATCACACCAGGCATCACAGCAGACACTTGGTCCATATGTTGAATCAGAATCCTAGGAGTAAATTATGATGCACCTTCAAAACCCTACCCACCCACCAGAGGCAACTGCTATTTTCAGCATATCTGTGCTTTGCCAATAGGAGTACCTGGGTGGTACAAACAGTTAAGCGCTTGACAACTAGCCAAAATGTTGGCAGCTCGAAAATGCCCCCATCCCCCAGAGGCGCCTTGGAAGACAGGCCTGGTGGTCTGCTTCTGAAAGATTACAGCCTTGAAAACTCTACGGAGCAGTTCTACTCTGCACACGTGGGGTCACCATGAGTCAGAATCGTCTCAACAGCAACTAACAATAACAACCAGGAACTGGATTCGCTCCTTTAGTCTTTGCTTTTAATGCTGCAAGATATTTATTTTCCCTCTTAAGTGAAGAAATAGAGGCTCAGTGAGGTCAAGTAATAAGCCCAAGGTCATACAACTGGTAAATCAGAGAGTTCAGATATGAACTCAGGTCTTGCTGACTCCAAAGCACTAGTGCCTTCTGCTCTACCACACTGCCTTTGTTTACTGTGCAAGGGATAGAGGAAGAAGATCCTGTGTAAGAAGTACTTGCTTGGTGGGGCTGAATTTAACTGTATGACCCTGCTCCATTTCCATGTATCAGCCAATTCAAGTGAAAGAGCTCCTGGTGGAGAGTCACATTCTCCTCACCTCCAAGTGGCAGGCAGCACCAAAGGGGAATCAGAGGGCTAATCAGAAGTCAGCTCTGCTGGTTCCCTACCCCTTTCACCCTACCCAGTGCAACCTCACTCATTTCTACTTTCATATTCTAGCCATCACGACTTTCAGGTTTCCAGGAAATTAATGGCATGCAGATGTCGGCAATCTCCTGGGCCCTGAAGAGTAATGACTTGGGAATCATAAATGTCACGACCCCAAAAGGCAGATGAGAAGGAAAAGGGGTCAAGAAAGAGGATGGAGGCAGGGTAGGGATGGGAGAAGAAAACAGAAGCAGAGAAGGGATGTCGATGATGCGGGATGCTAAAGGACTAAGAATCTGCAGTCTGCCTGGGTAAATGCCACTGCTTGCTTACCCTGTTAGGCACGTTCATTCATTTAACAGACAGACTGAATGGGGGTCCAATATTAGGGAAGATTAGGTCACACCTAACCTCAAGTCCCAAACCCTGGCTCTACCACCTTCTAACTATATGATGTTATCCAAGCTACTTCAGTTCCTCCAGCATCATCTCTAAAATGGGGATACAAATTGCACGATCTCACCGGATTCCTGTGGGGAACATGTGTGAAAAGAACTTTGTAACATTAAAGTCATTTATAAAAAATGAGTTGTTACTCCCCCTCTATAGTATAAAGGAAGATGCCTGAGTGGTGCAAACGGTTAAATGCTCAGCTACAAACTGAAAGGCTGGTGTTTGAATCCACCCAGAGGCACCTCAGAAGAAAGGCCTGGCGAGCTACTTCTGAAGATCACAGCCGTTGAAAACCCTACGGAGCGCAGTTCTACTCTACACACATGGGGTCACCATGAGTCAGAGTCAACTCGACGGCAACTGGTTTGGTTTTTTTTGGTTACAGTATAAAGGCAGAAAAAGGTCAACTAATCGTGAGAGGCAAGGAGGGAGGAGAGGAACAGCATCAGAGAGGGGGAGGCAGGCTTTCCGTCCCACACAGAGCCCTACCTCTTTCCGCCAGCCAGTGTTTGGACTCTATAATCTCTGGATGCCAGAAGTGGCTACATAACCATCCGAAGCACTGCTGCCTTCCTCATCTCTCCGAAAGGCAGACCTTCTCCTTCCAAAGCCCATTTCAGAGTCCCAGCAGGGAAAGCACATACAGGCAGAGGAAAGAAGGCCCCTCAGAAGACTGGTTAGCCTCATTCCAGGACACCTGAAGAGCTCCCAAAACCACAGTGCTGAGGTGAGTTTGGTCAGGGACCAACAGCTGATACGCAGTCAGGCCTCTCTGACTCTGCCCCTCTGAGGCATAGGCTGACCAGATTAGAGAAACAAGGTTGGCCACAGACCCTCCAAACAAGCTTATACAGATAAACAGCTTGTGATCCAGCTGTTGACTCTAAGAAGGCAAGTTTTTTTGTTGTCCAATAAGAAGTGAAATAAGTGCATCCCAGGTCTAGCTCAAAAGATTGCAGGAGTCAGACACTAGCGACTATCCAGAAGCAGTCAGAAAATCTCAAGGCAAAAAACTATACTACTTGTAAGCAGCCACCAAGGGTGGGAACATTGGCCCAGAACACTGAAGAACTACAGGAATGTCAAGGATTGCATGGCCTTTCCTCCCTTCCTCCACTGTAGATAAAGCAAGGGCCAGTCCTGGCTTCAAAGAGTCAGGCTGCTTCTCATTAAGGTACAGTCTCTGACCTGTACTTTGGCCACATGACAAAGAACCTCCCAGCTTGGTCGAAGACAGCAGCCATTTCACACACCTTAAGTCCCAAGCAACAGACAAAGATCATGTGTCAGTCCAGGCTGTCTCTTGGAAAGGTTAGTGGAACAGCACTCTCTGAAGTGTATGGGAATTCCTTCGGCTAATATGCAAAACTGCAAAATTTATTAATCAATATAAAAATTAGCACATTATGAATCCAGAGCTGCCATTGTGATCTTGACTTATTCCTCTGTCATCTACAGTTTTTCCAAGCCCAGACAGGTTGGGACCCTGGGACTAGAAGTGGCATGGACCTTTTGCTCAGGGGTGTGTGTGTGTGGGTGTGCGTGGGTGTGTGTGTGGGTGTGTGTTAGTTACCCGAAGGAATTCCCATACACTTCAGAGAGTGCTGTTCTACTAACCTTTCCAAGAGACAAACACGCACACGTTTGGGGGTGGGGAAGAGATGGCCCAGGACCCTTCAACTGCAGACTCTTCATTTTTAGTCTTATTCTCCTCCCTATAGACCAGTAGACAGCAGTCCCAGGAAGAACAGTCCCTCTGAGGCAAGACAGAAACCAATCACAAGCTCTGGGAGGAGTGGGCTGAGCCTGGAGTAAGCGGGGAGGAGGAAGGGAGAGAGAAGATAATGAATGGGCAGATACACCCTGATCTGTGATCTGTAGCTAGGACTGAGCAAACCTCAGCTAAATTCTTCAGAGGCAGGAAGAGAGATATATTCAGAGAACAACATAACTAGAAGACAGGGCTAGGGGGTGAAGGGGGCGAGACAAGGAGAAGACAGCTAATTCCTAATAAGTGACCCAGACTTCAAACTCTGTTTGGGTCGTATTTGGGTCTCTGGCTGAGAAAAGAGGGGAAGTAAAGAGTTAAGGGAGCGCAAACACACTTCTGGGTGTGTGGAACGGTCCCACCCAGACACCCTCAAATGAAATCGAGACAAAACTCTAGGGATAGAGGGGACAAGTGTTTTTTTGTGGGGCGCGGGGAAGGAAAACGGCGACAGACAGCACTCCCCTCCACCTCTAAAAGAGAAGGGGGACAGGTTCTTTCACAGCTAGCAAAGATTCCTCCAATCCTGGAAGCAGGAGCATCGGAACTTAGGGTCCCTCTCTCCCACAAATGGCCTGGACAAGACAGAGGAGGACCATGAGGGCTTTCCCAAGGCTCACGAAGGGCACGTAAAGGAAGGAAAGAAGGGTCCTCCTTTGGCCCGATGCCTGGGGAGCCCCTTAAAAGGGGGCTACGGGTCGGGGGAGGGGTCAAGCCCAGGGCGCCTGGGAGGGGCCAGTATCCCCCTAAGCCGGGCTTGGGCGGGAAAAAGGGTTGCCCCGGAGAGGCTTTAACGCAGGCGAGACACTGGGTCCCGGACAGGGACACTCACGGCGGCTCCGGGGCGGCGGCGTTACTCGGCGCCGGGGCTCGGACAGGCTCCGCTCCTCTCCCCCCAGTGGTGTCCCAGGCTCCGGCCTCCACTTCCGCCTTTCAGCAGCTCCGGATCCGGATCTCCGCCTCCGCCCCGCCCCTTGATACTCACAGGTGATTGACAGGGCGGAGAGACCAATGGGAGGCACTCTGGTCGGTCCACCGGCGACACTGGTGAGGGGCGCGGGGGAGCTCGCGCGAGGGACTGCAGGACTTGTAGTTCGCAGCTCTAGGAGGCCGCCTGGGACTTGGGTTTGGGTGGAGTCGGCTGCCGGCAAGGCGGAGCCCGGCCGGGAACTTCTTAAGGCCAGGCCCGCCAACCGCGTCAACGCGGCTTCCAGGAGCCCCGAGGGGAGGTGGGTTGCAGAGCACTGGAGAAGAGGGCAGGGGCCTGTTTGTGCGGAACTGGGGAAAGAAAAACATGGTGTGAACGAATGTGTACTTGAGGCCGCGTGGACCAGTCCCGGGCACTCGCTAACCGAGAGAAACCCCTGTCTTCACTTTCTGGCCAAGCCAGCTATAGAGCCGGATTGTTCGGGACGTTCTGCGACGTTACTGGGTGAGATCAAAGGGAGAGGTCTTGCCACTGCTTAGTCATAAACCAGGACCCTCTTGCATGGGCTCGGCGCCAAAACACACTAGGACCACCTCTGCCTCCCCACACTCCCCAACCGGAACCTGCTCTTGTCTCTGATGCCAAATACAGAGAGGAACCACCTCTGCCTCAGCTGTCTCCATCCGTAAACATAGACTAGAACCCTTTCTGCTTGCCACCCCCGCCCCACACACACACTCCCCCTTCCACAAGTATCAGGACTATTTGTTTCTATGTCCCTCAATATGGATTAGGACCACTTCTGCTCAGCTCCACCCCCAACACAAACTAAAGTCTCTACTTCTGCATCTCACCCCCCAGGGACACCACTCAAAACCTGCATGGAACTAAAGCTCACCCCAGAGACAGCTGTGGACATTGTTCCTATGATACCAGCCAACAGTCATACCCTGGAGTGTGAGCTTGGGACTCAGTCTCACTGGACAAACTGGCACAAAATTGCCCACTCCTGCTTCTATCAGGTCACTGGGGTGCTTCTTTCTTACAACATCCATGTATGCACCCCTTTCCACCTCTCCAGCCCTCATCCACATCCACATCCCCCCCACCCCACTGCCATCCACCCGTGATCCTCAAGAGAAGTGAAGCCAAGAGGGAGGAGAGGGCTTAGGAGGACAGACGGGATGGGGCAAAATGGATTCCTAGCCAGTTCTTTGCTAGTGGCAAGCTCTTCCCCCAGACCCTGCTGTACCTAGCCCTGCAACAGCAGGTTCCTCCACAGGAAGGGTGGGGAGTCCCCTGGACCCCCTCTTCCAGGACTGGAGGTAGACCTGAGCCAGGTCCTCTATCTGTTATCAGTGGCTGTGACTGGGAAGGGGAGGGGGTATAAGGAGCCCATAATGACTCATTAAGGTTTCTCCCTCATCCCTGGGGCCCCTGGTGGCATGAATGTGGTGCCAAGTGGATTGGCTGGTGCCTTTGCTCTTCCTACAGACAGCAACAGGGCCCTGGGGTACAGTGAGGCAGTGACCTTCACATGGGCTCCTCCAAAGCTCTGGGGTTCTTGGACCAACCCCCAGAAACAGCCAGAGCCAACAGCTACAAAAATAGTTTATTTCCCATCCAAAAGTGAGGCCAGGGTGTGGGGTGGTGAAAGAGAGCTGGGAGACCAGGGTGAGGTTGCAAGAAGTCAGGGCCCTGAGTGAGACCATGTTGGAAGAAGGGAGAACAGGCTTGGCTGAGGTCAGAGGTAAGGGAGATAGGGAGTACTGCAGGGGCTGTTTTTCAAGTTGCTGGCAGTAGAGGAGACCACCATGAGTGAGAGCCTGTAGAGAGAAAACAGATGTTGACAGACCTAGGCCCAGGGGTGGAAAAAGACACTGTTGGGATCAAGAAGCACCAAGAGAGTTGAGGGGCAAAGGGACCTGTGAGCACATTCTAAGGCAGGGATTGCAAACTTGCATACCCACAGGGACCCAAGAATTCAAATGAAGGAAGCTAGCTGGGTGTCAAGAGATGATCAAGAAAGCTGGGGACTGCAAAAAACTGGGTTTCTGAGCCCCCATGTAAAGAGGCCAGCAGCCACCCAGCACCAATTGATTATTGCTAGATGGGAGCGTTGTCCTGAGGTTGCCAGTTCTCCCGATTTTTTTTTTTTTTTTAAGAGAAGCTGGAATCACTGGGTTTTTATGTGAAGTCTCCTAATTTTTAATGTTGGCAACTAATTCATATTTTTTAAAAAAATGTTCTGGGAGACAATCAAGGTCGGGGGCATCAGCTTGTTTCCTGTGGCTGAGGGATGAGGTGTACCCGTCCAGCCTGGGCTGACAGTGGGAGACCTAAGAAGTCTTGGGTTGCTCAAGTGCCAGCAAGGGTTTCAAACCTCCCCCTCTCAAGGTGCCATTGCTCTCAGGCTCTTCAGCAGAGATCTGGGGGCTGGGACAGAAAACCTCACAATATCACTAAGCCATCTCCAGAATGGAATCCTACAATCTTTTCCTCTTGCTGTAGACTCAACCACCAAGATCCCACCTGCTTTTGCCTCAGCCTTCATTTCCCAGGCTGGATCTGGGGCCCATGCCTACCCTCGTAAGCTCCCCCATCTCTACCTGCCTCCAACTCCTGGGGAGAAAGTAGCACATCTCATCTTTCCAGCCCAATGGGCACCGCAGTCCATCTCATGCCTGCTTGGTTCCACAGCCTCAGATGGTTCCCCTCACAGAGGAGGATACGGGAAGGTTTGGAAAAGGGAGCAGGGTCAGGGGTGACCATGCTTTGTCCAAAAGTCCAGAGAATCCAGAGCCAACCAGACCAGCTGGTGGCTGCTGACCCTGAGGCAAGAGGCCAAGGGGCCCAGCCCCTCCCTGGATGGCAGGTGGCAATGCCCACCCCAGACAGGCCTGGGCCCGGGGCCAGGGTCAGTGGAAAGTGTCTGATCTGGACCGGAAGCTGTGCCTCATGAGGCCTGGGGTTGGGGGTGAGGCCTCTGGCACCAGGGAGGGCCCTAGAGGGTCAGGCTGTGAGGGGTAGGGGGACAGCATGGGGGACCTAGAGTCTGGGGTGGCAACACCCATCTCTGTTGTCCCCATACTAGCCGGGCGGTGGACCTCAGCGAGCGTAGTGTCCTGGAGGTTAGGCGGTGGTCCAGACAGACAGGGAGAGATACATGGAGGCCTCAGCTGGGGGCAAGGAGGGTCTAGGGGCTCTGAGGGCCAAGCTGAGGCTGTCAGGGGGACTGGGGGACCCAGCCTGGCTTGCAGCAGGCTCATCATGTGCCGAAGCTCCCGGCTAAGCTGAGACACTTCCTGGTTGAGACGGGAGATCTGTTGAAAACACATCAAGTTGTTTCACAGATGCCACAACAATAACCACACTCCTGTGTGTTCCCCCTTCTACAGTTTATAAGGTTGTTTCATTACTCCTCTCTGCTCATGGCCACCCTGGGAAGAAGGCAGGACAGAGGTTATTTTTGCCTAGATGTAAATACTCTAGCCTCTTTCCAAAAAGCATTTGGGACAGCAGATATTGTTGCCGCCGCCCCCCACCCTCCACCCCACCTGCTTTACAAGATGTAGAAAAATATGCTCAAAGGGGCTGCACAGCTGGGATGTGAGGGATGCAGCCATATTCTCAGGTGATCCCATCCCACCAGCTCAAGTGTCTCTATCAGTGGTTCTCAAAACGTCAGTGATTACCAGAATCAACTGAGAAATTTGTCAAAACACAGATATCTAGATTCCACTCCAGACATTCTAAATTAGGTGAGGCCCAGGATTCTGTATTTTAACAGGTTCTCTGGGTGGTTCTGATAGACACTCAGGTTTGGGAACCACTGGCCAGGAAGAAATGAGGGGTGCCCAAGGCAATGAGTAGAAGCAGGAATGGCCTTCAATCTTGCTGAACAAGAGCTAGCTCCACCCCCAGCCCCCTGGCCCCTCTGGGAAGCCTGCTGTTTATCAGAGCAGAGGGAAGGCCAACTCCTAGGGGCTGGGCCTGGCTGCTCTGTGGCGACAGCTCTGAGATCCCTTGGGAAGAGGTGGAGAAGGCAGAGCCTCCACATACAGGATCTGGGTTCTTCCCAACCAGAATGGGGGCTTCTGGGTTCAACTCCCCTAAACTGAGGCCTCTCAGCACCCCCCATCCTCTGCTGCCCCTCTTCCGCCATCTGCTTAGCACTCATTTCTTAGGGCTGGTAAGGGGAAGGAGCCCTGGTGGCACAGTGGTAAGCTCTCAGCTGCTAATGGAAAGGTCGAGGTGGGTGGTTTGAACCCACCAGCTGCTCCTCAGGAGGAAACTGTGGCAGTCTTCAGCAGTCTGCTTCCATAAAGATTTACAGCCTTGGAAACCCTATGGAGCTGTCCTACTCTGTCCGGTAGTGTCCCTATGAGTCGGAATCGACTCGAGGGCAACGGGTTTGGTTTAGGGTAAGGGAAAAGGAGCTGAACATCCTGACTTGGTAGGGGGAGGGTCCCAGGCAGGAGAAATCCTGAGGTGGTGGAGGGAGAAGAGACCTATTTCCAGCATGGAAAAAACTAAGCCAGTAGGAGGAGGGGAATGAGCAGTTGCTGAGGACACACATTGTGCCAGGGGCTGGACCAGGCACATATGCACTCTCGCTTCATCCTCACAGCAACTCCGGGGTAATGTGTTATTATCTTCCCCATTTTTAGATGAGGAAACTGAAGTTCAGAGAGGTTATGTGACTTGCCCAAGGTCATCCAGTTACCATGACTATTTGAACTCAGAATTCTGGCTCCAAAATCTGATATGCTTTTATATCAGGTAATCTCTGATCCCAAGGGGATATTCTCCAAGGTTGGGGGTGGGAGGAGGGCAGCCTCGGCTCACCTCCTGGTTCAGCCTGCCGACCTTCTCCTTCACTTCCTCGGCCTCAGTGGCCAGTCCCTGGCTGGGCCTGGTCCCTGCAGGCAGAATAGGGGAGGGGATGCAGGGAGCACAGACACCTGAGCCTGCAGCCTGGGCGGGGTCTCTCCTATCACTGGGCAGGTGGACAGCAAGGGGAGAGACAGCTTTGGGGTCAGGGAAATGGGAAACCCAAGCTCCTGAGGCTGGTCCCAAAGCCCTGCAAACTCATTCTCCCACCCTCCCGTTAGGCTCTAGGTATCTGAACATCTGCTTGCTATGCCTTTTAACAACTGCCCTGCTCCACCCTTAAACTCCCACCCACCTTTTAAGATACAGATCAAGGGTCCCCTCCTCTAGGAGGGAGAGTCAGGGGTGCTCTCCTACCACAGGGTCCTGTTCTTGTCTCAGTCGTGATACTTAGCGCCAGGCCCTGGAACTGTTTATCTGTGTACGCAAGGTGGGCCCCCACCCCTCGACTGGGCACTCACTGAGAGCAGGGGCCAGGTCTGGTTTGTCTGTGCATTCCGAGCACAGAGCCCGGCACATGGTAGGCCCCTACTGCATGTGGGATGAATGAATGAATGAGTGCCAGATGAATGAGTGAATGTAGATTGAAGTCCATGGCTGGACCCTTACCTGTAGTAGGGGCCTGTGAGTGGGGCCTTGGGGCCTCAGGCTTCCTGCTGAACCGGAAGTTAGGGGCCTCAGCTGTGCTGCCAGAGTCCTCAATGCCATCCACTATCCTGGGGACAGGGACAGTGCTCATCAGTACCACAGGGAGGTAAGGGCCAGAGCAGAGCAGACAGAAAGTGGGTGGGGGCAGCAGGGCCAGGGAACTGGGGAGAAGCAGTGGTCAAAGGGGGCTGAGGTTGCAAGCTGTGGTGGGATCAGGAAGGGTGGGGTGGGCAGATGGGGAGACAGGGAGGAGCACTGGTCGGAATGCTGGGGACAGAGCCCAGAGAAGGTTCTGGAGGCCAGCAGGAGTATGGGGAAGGCAGGGGAGACTGGCGTCTCACCGGGGACTGAGGTCTGGAGGTCCAAAAGTTCCCAGTGGGGGAATGAGCAGCTGGGGGGGCTTCCAGGCAGCAGAGCCTCTGGGGGGCCCGTGAGGTGAGGGGCTGTGGCCCTGGCCAGCCAGGGCAGGGGAAGGGGATGGGGATAAGGAAGGAGAGGAGACAAGGGCTGAGAACGGGGGTAGCTCCTCGCCCAAAAGGCTGACCAGGGAGCCCCGAGGCCGTGCTGGGCTAAGGTTGGGCAGCAGGAGGGGCCGGTGGGGCCTGAGACCACCCCCAGTCTCTGCCCCACCCTCGGCCTCTGTGATGGACGGCAGGGTCTTGTCTGAGGAGGAGCTGAGCCTTTCAGAGTGGGGCTGTGAGAGGCAGAGGGGTAGATGATGTTACAAGACAGTGAACAACAGGCTCCTTCATTAAGCAACAGCTTTCACTGTAGTTGCTGCTCCCCATCCCCTCTCCCTTCTCCCTGAGCAGAACCGCCAAGGAAATATGGCCCCCACTCTCAGCCTTCTCCCCACCAAAGAAGGGGGTGTTACCTGGGAGAGACGAGGGGACCGGGCAAAGCGGCTGAGGCCCTGTGGGGACATAGGGGGGTTCAAGCTTATTCATACTTCCCCACTCACCTGGGGGAGCACTTCCTAGTCCCACCCAATAGTGTTGTAGGGTTGAGAATGTGGGGCCTTTTTGTGGAATCGAGTCAGAGACACTCCCAACTCCAACTCAGAGAAATCCTGAGTGGCAGAGTGAGACTAAAAAGCACCAAAAGACAAAGGTCTAGGGTGTAAAATAGGCCCAGAGCCTAAAACCAAGAGGGGCTCAGTAAACATTTGGTGAGTGGAGACCTAAGGAATGATGCCTGGTTCAGAGAGGAACTTGAAGGAGGGGGGGCCTATGAGGGGGGTTGTCTCCAAAGTAGGGCCCTTTGAAGGAGTCTGGAGTGAGGCTGGGGGATGGGCAGCAGGAGATGGGTCAGTAGAGTTGGGAGTAGAAGGTGGTGAGAGATGGTCCATGGGGCTGGATGATGGCCAATGGAGTAGTGTCCGCGGGGCTGGACGATGTTAAGCATGCAAGGGGCAATGCAAGAGGGTGCCTGGGGTTGAGGGATGATGTTTTCAGGATGGAGGAAGATGCATGAGGTTCTTGGGGGCTGGGGAAAGTCTGCTTTAAAGAAGGGGACCCTGGAGGGGGCGGAAGCTATAGGAGGTCTACATACATTGGTGTCAGAGCCCTGGCGCAGGTTGAAGGTGAGGTCCCGGGGCAGGCCAGCCCGGAAGGCAGTCCCATACTCAGGGTAGAGCCTCAGGACCTCAGCCAGCCCTCGGCCGCTCAGCTGCTGCAGGCCACAGTAGGTCAGTGCCTTCACATCAGCGCTGGTCTTCAGCACGCAGCTCGGGCCTGCCCCTGACCCAGGCTCCTGCCCCGGCTCAGGGATATCTGCCCCAATCAGGTCCCCCTTCCCTGTGGGTAAGGGATGGGGACAGTCAGCTGGTGCAGAGGGAGCAAGAGAATATCAGTGGGAGGTGGTCAGTGGAGTTGAGGGATGGTAAGCGTGTTTGAAGGATGACTAAAGATGGGTCAATCAATGGGATCCATGGAAATAATCAGTGAAGTTGGGAAAAGGTCAGTGGATAATGGCTAGTAGAGTTGGGACACAGTCAATGGGGGATGTCAATAGGGCTGGAGGAATGATCAGTGGAATTGGATGATCAATAAAGAATGGTCAGAGGGGTTAAAATTAAAAGACAAATATCAACGGAATTGAGGGTCAATGGGGAAGGGTCAATGGAGTTGGAAGATAGTCATTGGGGAAGGGTTGATGGGCTGAGGGGATGGCCAGTGGGATTAGGGGCAAGTCAGAGAGGAGTGGACAAAGGGAATGGTTAAAAAGGGATGGTAGTAGGATGGACAGACCAAGAAAGAGTACTCTCAGCTGAAATTCCAGGTCTCCACTAGGGGTATCCCATTCCCTTGACTCCTGGCCATTCCCAAGGCCTCTGGGGAAGGTTTTGGCATGGGTAGTGGGTGCTGGTGGGGTCCTCACCCAGGATTGCCAGCACCATGTTGTCACGGAGCACCTCAAGTGAGCCAGAGCAGACATAGTAGTGTGCCTGCAGGGCATCTCCACGGCGCAACAGGTACTCGCCCGGAGCGCAGAAGGAGGTCTTGATGTGCAGGGAGAGGGCCCGCAGGCAGCCCCTGCTTGCTGCTCCAAACAGCGGTAGCTGCAGGATCTCCCGATTCAGGTGCATAGCAATGTCAGCTCTCAGCTCGTCTGGGAAGTCACGCAGTAACTGCATAAGGGGCATAGGTCATTCTGGCCATCCCCCTGCAGCTGCTACTCAAGTCTACAAATGTGTGGAGCTATCTTCAAGGAAGGGGCTCCAACTTACTCTTTTCTTTGAAGTCACCCATCTCTGACTTTCAGGAAGACTTCTGTGTGTCTAGCCTCATTTTTGCTTGTTGTAGTATAGACCTCCCAACCCAGTTTCTGGGGCAGAGACTAGGTCTTCTCCTATCTGTCTGCTGCCCAAGGCTGCACTCACTGGTCACTCATTCATGTCCTGATTGCTCAATCCCACACATCCAAGGACATCCCTGGTAAGTTAGCCTTTAACCAGGAGTCTGGATACTAGGAGTCAGCTCCACTTTTAAATCCCTGTGGTCCTTGGGTGATCTGGTTCCTCTCTCTGGGCCTCAGTATTCCCATCTGCAAAATGCAGGGTTTCACTAGATCTCAAATCTTACCAATGGCGTCGTAGGGGCCCAATTTAATGTTCACATTTCCATCCCCAACTTATCAAGTCACTGACTTTTTGACCTCTTTCTGCTTAAGGAAACACCTCTCTGGGCTCCTGTGACATGGTTCCATGCCATTTCTCTTCCCACCTCTCCGACTGCTCCTTCTTCATTTCCCAGGCTCTTTCTCAGTCTACCCCCTTGGCTGTCCCCTCACTTTCCTCACTCTCCTTGCATCATGGCAACCAGTCCCGTGACTTCCCCACTACCTGTGAGCCCCGACCCTCAAATCTGGGTCCAGACCTGTATTTCCAACTACCTACTGGACACCTCCACCTGGCTCTCCCACAGGCACCACACCCTCATTGTGGCCCAACCCTGGACTCTCATTTTCACCCCCAAGCCCGATCTTCCTCCTGGAACGCCTCCATTCCACCCCTTTGCCCAAGCCAGAAACATGTGAGTCACTCTGGACTCCTCTCCCGCAACTAGCTGATCACCAAATCTCATGGATACTACCCTCAGAAATACCTCACTAACCCATTCCCTCCTATATCCCCATGCCACTCTCTGGCCTAAAATTCTTGCAGGATAAAATTTAAATTCAAGGTCACCCATGAGCTGGGCTTGCCCGCCTCTCTCCCTCCCTCTCTCCCAACCCTGCGTTCCAGAAGGCTCACTGTACTGCTTTCAGTTCCCTGCATGCACCCTGCTCTTTTGCATCAACACTTCTGGACCTGGGTCCTTATTGCTCTTTCTGCCTGGAATGGCCTTCCCTTCGCTGATTGATTGCCTTCTTGTCCTTCAGGATGTCCTGTCTTCTGTGCCACCTTCCCTGACTCCTGTGGGCCCCCATTGCACCAACCTCCCTCCATTATAGTCCTTCTCACTCCTTATTTACTTGTCTGCCTTCCTCACCAGACTCGGGGCTCCCTGAGGGCAAGGGCTGGGTGTAATCATCTCTGAGTTTCCAGCGTCCAGCACCCAGGCTGGTGCAAAGCAGGTGCTCAAGAAATGTTGGCTGAGGCCTGAGCTCCCATATTCTAGTGCAAAGGAAAAGGGATTTGGATTTGGGTGGGCGTGTGCCCTTGTGTGCAGCACCTCGCCTCCCTAGGCCCCTTGGCCCCCATTCTAAACCAGGAGAGGCAGCGACCTCTGCTCTACCTGTTGCCGTGGGGGGCCTGGGCACCTGTGCACTACCTCATTGGCATCGATGCCACTGTTGACTGCCCACGTGGTCTGGAAGTACTCGAGCATGCGCTGTTTGAGTGGCCTCGGCAGGCGGTGCACGCGGATGAAGTCCTTGAGGTCCTTCACGCGGGTGTGGTAGAGCGAGCGGCGGGAGTACATGCGCTGGATGATGGCCGTCACGTTCCCGAACACCACGGCGTGCATCAGCGCTGAGGTGGCGGCCCAGACAGCGGGTCAGGGGTGACTGCGGCGCCCCGGCCTCCTCCCCTGCTCCCAAGCCCACCCTGCCCTGGAAGGGTCTCTGGGTTCCTGGGGAGGCGCCGCAGAGCCAGGGGCTCCTGCATGCCTACATGATGCCAGGCGCTGGGCTGGGGGTATGAATGAGGGGTGGCCCAGAGTGGCATCCGACCCGATGCTAAGCATCTTTCCCCCCTCGCCCCCCATTAGGTCGTGAACATCGGTGTTCCATCCCCTTCAAGAGAGGCCACTCCTATTCCCGGCATTCCCCAGGGCCAGCACGTAGTAGGTGCTGAGGGAACGTTGATGAATGAATGCACAACTGTCTGCACTTGGGAGGACACCTGGCTCTCTCTGGGCCTCAGTTTCCCCATCTGGGCTAGCAAGTCCTCCCAGGGGGCGTGGCGGCCCACCCTCACCGCCTATGAGCATGGCGCAGATGGAGAAGATCTTCTCCGCGTCGGTGTTGGCGCATACGTTGCCGAAGCCCACGCTAGTGAGGCTGCTCAGAGTGAAGTAGAGCGCAGCAATGTAGGCGCTGCGCCGTGAAGGGCCGCCCACCGAACCGTTGACGTAGGGCACCTCCAGCCGCTTGCCCAGCTCGTGCAGCCAGCCTGGGGGTGGGGGGATAGAGGGAGAACCAGGTTTCCCTGAGCTGCGAGCGCTTGACCTTGGGCAGGTATTTACAGAGGCACCCAGTGTGCACGTGCATGGGTTGGCACAGGAAACGTGAGGAGCAGACTGTGCCAGGGCCTCCCCATGGTGAAACGGTTACAGTTGCCGTCCAGGGTTAAAACTTCCTACACTGCTGATTAGTCAGGGGGCCCTTCAACTGGCTATTTTTTTGAGCACCTCCTTGACCCAGCCAGACATGCTCCCTGCTCTGGTGGAAGTTACAGTCTGGAGTTGAAGTAATCATTACAGGTGGGAGGAGCCTTACAAAAGGGGAAGTATAAGGTGTCTTGGAGTCCCCGGGTGGTGCACACTCAGCTAGTAACAGAAAGATTGGAGGTTGAGTCCACTTAGAGGTGCCTTGGAAGAAAGGCCTGGCTACCAAATCAGCCATGGAAAACCCTGTAGAGCAGTCATATTCTGACACGTGGGGTCGCCATGAAGCAGACCTTACTTGAAGGCAACTGGTTTATACAGTGTCTTAGGAACCATAACAGGTTTAGGGAGTGCTAACCCAGTTGTGGGGGCACTTTTGGAGGGTTCCCTTGTTGTTGTTAGATGCCTGCCAAGTTGATTTTCGACTCATAGTGGCCCCATGTGACAGAGCAGAACTGCTCCATAGAGTTTTCTAGGCTGTAATCTTTAAAAAGAAGCAGACTGCCAAGTCTTTCTCCCACAGAGCAGCTAGGTAGGTTCGAACTCCCAACCTTTTGGTTAGCAGCCAAGTGCTTAACTGTTGTGCCACCAGGGTTCCTTGGAGGGTTTCCTTAGGACAGTTGAGACTGTAAGGAACAGAAAAGTCACCCAGGTGAAGAAGAGAGGGGAGAAAAAGGGGTGGGGGGGGGGCAGAGAGGAATGTTCTTTTTCAAGGCTGGAAGTGAGAAAGCAGTACATCCGGAACCTAGAGGAAGGGCCGTGGGGCTGCAGCCCAGGGAGCATGGGAGAAAGGGAGGCCAGGTGGGGCTAGAGAGGGGTGCAGGACTGAGTGTGGACTTTATTCTGAGGGCAGTGGGGCTTCTGGAAGGGACTGATCAGGGTATTGCAGGACAGCATTGATTCTTGGAAGACCAGTTTGGTTGGGGTGTGAAGGTGGGTGGAGATGAGAAGGGGGCCAGGAGACCAGGATGAGGCTATTGCCGAAGACTAGGTGAGAGAGGGTGGTGGAGTGGACTGGTGAGGGGCAGAGGGGATGGAGAGGAGAGGGATATGTAAGCAGTAGTACTGATGTGATGGACTAGCTGTGGGGGTGGAGAGGAAAGGGTCAGGAACAATGCCCAGGACCTGACATGCCCTCCAGGGGGATGCTGAGGGCCTGGGGCTGCCTCCTGGCCAGTGGCCATTAAGCTGGAGAAGGAGGGATTGATGGGGGCAGAAGGGATTGACGGGGGAGAGGGACAGGCCAAGCTCTTTCAGGGCCTTTGCACATGCTGCTCTCTCTGTCCATCCCCCCCCCCACCCCGCTCCCCACCACCACCTGCATCAGAGTGCTCTGTATTCTGATTGCTTGTCACTGCTCTTGCTCTCCTGCTAGGCGAGGAGGTCCCAGAAGGCAGAGCCCTTGTCTTCAAATCAATATTGCCAGCACCTGATCCAGAAGGAGCTCGATGCATGTATGTTGGATGGATGGAGGAAGGTGGGGTGGTGGGTGCGGGTACTGGTGGAGGCATCAGCTTGGGAACGTAAGTGGACAGGGCAGGAGTACAGGTGGTCAGTGGATGCCTGGGGTTGGTGGCTCACCGATGTCCCAGAGCAGTGGGTCGTTGGCCTCCATCTCCCGGCGCCCAATGACATACCAGATGCAGGCCATCCAGTGGGCAAGGAGCGCGAACACAGACATGAGCAGCGTGAGCACCACAGCACTGCACTGTGAGTAGCGCTCCAGCTTCTGCAGCAGCCGCAGCAGCCGCAGCAGCCGCACTGTCTTCAGCAGGTGCACCAGTGATGTCTGCGGGAGCATGGCAGGGGAGGCTGTCAGCAGGCGCACCTCCTTACAGTCCTCACGCCCCCCACCCCTCCCTGTGCCTTCCCACCAGAGGCCCTGGAGCCAGGGGGAGCTGCAGCAGGAAAAAAAGAATCCCTGCTGTCTCTAGAAGGTGACCAGGAATTGCAGTGGGGGAGAGAATAACAGTAAAACTAATCATGCCTAACACTTAGTAAGGTCTTCCTATATATATGTGCCATGGAGCCCTGGTGGGGCTTGGTTAAACCACTTGGCTGCTAACTGAAAGGCTGGCAGTTCGAGCCCACTAGCCACTCCACGAGAGAAAGATGTGGCAGTCTGCTTTCATAAAGATTACAGTCTTGGAAACTCAATGGGGGCAGTTCTGCTCTGTCCTATAGGGCTGCTATGAGTCAGAATCAACTTGACGGCAATGGGTTTGTTTGTTTTTGGTGTATATATGTGCCAGGCTTTCAGTCCAATGATCCTCATTGTTCCCAACTTGCAGATGAGTAAACTAAGCCTCAGAGAGGTTAGTGACTTGCTCAAGGTCACAGATCAAGGAAATGATGGACCTGGGACTCCAAGCTTCACCAACACCCAAGCCCATTCTGTGCTACACTGCATTTGGGCTGGTGGAGGAGCCAGGCCAGGCCAGAGCTAGGGGGATAGACACAATGAGCTCTGAAGGGGCCCTACTGGAAACCCCCAGAGTCTTGGACATAAGCAGCTGTGGACAAGTGCTGGTAGTGATGATGGTGACTGTGACAGGGGCCCCTCCCTGAGACATGGGGTAGCATGGTGGAGTGGGAACAGGCAAGGGGGAGCCTGTGCAGCTGGAGGACTGGGGCCCAAACGTGGGGACCTTTCCCCCTGTGAGTCAGGTGCAGATGAGGGAGTCATGCCCAAGACTTGAGAAGGAGAGCAGGGACTGAGGAAGCCTGGGCTGGCAGGTGTCTGTCCTTGTGGAGCTGTGGTGGGGGTTGATGGAACTAATGGTACCTGATAAGGGTCCTGTAAACATTAGCTAATATTACTACTACTACTACTATTGTCATTGGTAATATTAATATTTCAATGAGCTCTTCCTGTCTTGGGGATGAGGAACAGGTAGGGCTTATCTTTTCATAGGGGGCAGCTTGGCAGCTAGGGCTGGGGGCTCTAGGACAGCACCTGGGGAGCTTGGTGTGAAGGCCCTTCACTGCCTCTTCAGGGGCCTCCAGGAGCATGCCCCATAGCCCTGGTCCCACAATGCTCCTGAACCACCTCGTGCCATTTTCTCTAATTTGGGGTGAAGGAGCTGCAAAGGAGATGGCCCTGATTCCCCCACCGTGGATGCCCTCCAGGACTTAATGCCTGCCCCAGCTCCCAGAGCTCCTGGCTCCAAACTTGAGTCCTGCAGGGCTCCTCCCAGTCACCTGCCCTGGACCCCACTCCATTGGGGACCCTCCTCTCACTCTCGTGGGACCAGAAAGTCTCAGGCCCGGCTCCTTCCAGCCCGCAGCTCTGCCAGTGCCTGCTTATCTTCCGTCTTTGCTCTGCTTTCCCTCCGGTCCCCAGCATTGCTCTTCATCTCCTCTTAAGCCAGACCACCCACTCAGGCACCCTGGTTTCCTGGGAAGCAGGGTGGTGTATTGGAAAGAATACCAGGCTAGGAGATTAGAGACCTGATTCTAATCTCTTGCTTGCCATTGCTAGCTGTGTGACCTTCAGCAAGTCACTTAACCTCTCTGTGCCTCTGTATCTATCTCTGAAAAAAAGGGATAAGAGAATCTACCCTGAAGGGTTACTGTGAAGCTCCTGTGTGATGATGTGTGTGAAAGAACTTGGTAAACTGTAAAGTGCTCCCAAAAGTACCAGAGGAGGAGGGAAGGGGGCTCTCTGCAGTCCCCCCGCTCCCCCAGGAACAGCCGTCTGTCTGGTGGGCGAAGAGGAGCGTGCTTATGGGGACAGTTAGAGCTCCGTTTGGAATGACCGGAGCCTCAGGGCAGACATACACACACGCACGTGTGTGGGAGTGCGCACACACGTGTACACAGCCAGGAGAAGAGGCCCACAGCTCGTTGGCGGCTAGTTAAATCCGGCTGCATGTAGGTGGTTTCCCGCTATAGCTGGGTGGCAGAGAGAGGAGCACACAGGGAAACTGCTCTCCACCTCCCAACCAACAACCGAGGGGGCCTGGGGACACGGGGTGGGACTCCCTGACCCCAGACCTGAGAAGACCTGCTGCTCTGCCAGCTGGGTCCAGAGCTGAGTCCTCGAGCACCTCCCTCCCTGTGGCTCCCCTGAGGACATAGGTCTGGGGCCTCTCTGGCTCTAAACCCACCCCACAATCTCTCTGTCCTGCTCTTGGCTGACTGTGATACCCCTGAATGCTCTCTCTCTTCATCTCCAGTCAGTCAAGTCCTACTCACTGCTCAAGGTCTAGTTCTATTCCCAGCTCCTTCCGGAACTCTTCCCAGACCACTCTAGCCTCTGCTCAATCCGGGTGCTTTTGCCTCCCAGATGCCAACCAGATTTCAGATTATTTTTGCACATGCTCATGTTCCAGCCTGGAACTCCAACGCCAGCTAGCTCTGTGCCAACCCCAACCCAGCAACATCTCATCCCCATCTCCCTCTCCCATTCACCTTTTCTGTTCCTGATGTTACCCCCTCAGTGTTCCTGCCCTCTCTGTGGCTTAGCTGCTTGGAAGCCATATCCTTGTCACCTTTCCCCACAGTGACCATGCCCCACACAGTGCTTTGCAGACAGCTAAGTGCTCATCAGTTGTTTGTTAAATAAAAATGTGAAAAGTACCGCTGATTTGGCATCACAGCGACACTGCCTTGGTAGCCATACTTAGCTTTGCCTTTGTCTCAGCTTCGTCAGAGACTGTGAGCTGAGCTCCCGAGAGCACAGACCCTCGCGATCCTTCCCAGCACCCAGCACAGGGCTTGGCCCACAGCAGGTGCCTAATAAATGTTTGCAGATGGATTGATGAGAAGGACTGAGTCTGGGTTTGCGGTCCCCTAATGGGAGATGGGAGCCTTGGGGTGCAGTGGTTTGGTTAGTGGCTGCTAACTAAAAGGTCAGTAGTTCTAATCCACCAGCCACTCCTTGGAATCACTATGGGACGGTTCCACTCTGTCCTATAGGGTTGCTATGAATCAGAATTGACTGAACAGAAACAGATTTGTTTTTTTTGGTTAACGAGAGATGAGAGTCCCTGAGTGGTGCTAATGGTTAATGTGCATGGCTGCTAACCGAAAGGCAGGACATTTGTGTCCACCTAGAGACACCTTGGAAGAAAGGCCTGGCAATCTACTTATAAAAAATGAGCCATTGAAAACCCTACAGAGCACAGTTCTACTCTGACACACATGAGGTGGCCATGAATCAGGGATGATTTGACAACAGCTGGCACTGGTAATGGGAGACACTGTGCTGAAGTTGGGGACTAGGCTGCATGGTAGGACAGGGTCACTTACCACAGTGATATTGAAGACATAAAGCAGGTCAAAGGGCAGAGCAGCAATAAGGTCCACGAAGAACCAGGTGGCCAGGTAGTGGAGGCCAATGGAGCGAGGAGCAGAGATCACCTGGCCGGACTGGGACACATAGGTGGTGCGGAAGTTCAGGATGATATCTAGGGGTTCAAGAGGCTATTACTAGGGGGCCTTGGCCTAGGAACTCAGGCCAAAGGGCCAAGGAACTAAGCAAGCTGGCAACAGTCCTTAGAGACACAGACTGGAGGAGGAGGCAGGGATGGGAAGCACAGATTGGGCTTCTGGCTGGCTCTTAGGGAGGAGAGGCACAAAGACTGAAGGCTGCAAGGGCCAGGGGTCAGGGCACATGGGCCACTGGGACTTAAAGATCTAGAAATGGATGGGCTTGCAGGCCTAAGATGGAGTGAGACTTGGCTGGGAAGCTCCCTCTGACCCACCCACCAAGATAGGTGGTGCAGAGAGTCTGACCTAGGATGAAGAGCATCTCCACGGCGATGTCGCTGACAAGAGTGTGACGGGAGGTGATGGGGGTGTCGTCATCGCCCGAGAAGCAGACATTGTAGGGGACAGTGACCGCAACGTAGAAAGTGGCGAGGAGGATGAGGCCGTCCCAGATGGCTTTGGGGACGCTGTAGTGGAGGAGGAGGCAGCGGGACCCCCCCACGGAGGCCACCTTGTACTCGGGCACTGATGACTTTGGCTCAAACATGTTCTAAAGGGAGAGGGGTGGTGGTTGGGGACACTTGGGGGAGAGAGGAGCCAGGGCTGAGGGAGGGAGAGGCAAGGAATGGGGAAAGGGTAATGGGAGGAGGTGAGCACTGCAAGGGCAACCATGAGAGGAGATAGAAGGTGTAGGAGATGGGTGCAGAGGCTGGCACCTGACACGTCCTTACTCCTGCCAAACTAGTGTCCAGTCTCCCTTCTGAATCCACATGTTCTAGGTTTTGTTTACAAGGCTTGACCTGCATCCTGCTTATGACAAGTCAGGCACATGCCCTAGCTTAAGGGGTTACTAACTCCCCCCTCAAGTTCCTTCTGGGTGCTGGGGGCACAGTGGAGGGTAGCCATGTCCCAAGGGTAAGAGAGGACTGTCATGGCCTACTCCACTGCCTACAGCCCTAATGAACTGCATAGAGGATTTATGATGCAATTCCCTGGCTTTGTCAGGGTCCCAGGAGGAAGTATATAGGTCTAGATGTCAGACCCCCAATGGAGGATCTCTCCCCTGGACCACAGCAGCTTATGATTTCTCCCCCTATGATGTAACCCCATCACCCAGGGGTGGGTGATGTAATTGCTACTACAATCCCACCCTTGTGACATCATCAGAGCAGAGTAATGTCAATCATTCAAGGAAGCAAGGGAGATGTGATGGAAGGAGGTTTAGGGGAACATGAGGATGGAGCAAGAGAGTGGTACATGAGAAATGGGTTGAGAGAGGGACAAGCGAATGGAGGAGGACCAAAGAAACAGGGGAACGGGGAGACAGTAGCAGAGGTGCTTCAGAGTCAAGGCTGGAGCACTTAGGAGTAGTTGGGATGAGGATGGGGCTCACATTATTGGTCTTCATGCCTCCCTGGCCCCGGCGTCCAAAGTGGCCAGTCAGTCGGTGTAGGACGGTTCGGTTCTGCCTCCTGGCGGACCGACGTTTCGAGCTGGCTTTCCTCCTGCCAAGGGAGTTTTCTATTGGGGAGAAGGGTGCAGAGATGAGTGAGGGCACATCCCATGAAGCTGAGTAGGGAGAGGTCTTGTGTGACCTTGGGCAAGGGCCTCTGACCCCTTCATGCCCCCTCCCCAGACTTGCAGTTACCATGATTACTGTCCCCACGGCCTCCTGGGGGGCCAAGTCCTGGGCCCCCACTCTGAGTGATGTCCTTGAAGGAAAAGAGGAACAGCACAACCTCCCCCATCTCATTCTTGATGGGCATCATGTCCAGGAGGCACCAAAAGGCTGAACCTGGAGGTGTGGAGAGAGGGAGGGGGAGGATGAGGGACCCCATGATGAGGGACCGCATGGCATCCCTTTCTCCCCTAGTCCTCCTGGGTTGCTGGACATCATCAAAAGGCTTGGCAAAGGTTTAGAGCTGGGAGGAACCCCAGAAATTATGTCAGCTGACTCCTTCATCTTACAGATGGAAAAGCTGAGACCTAGAGAGGGTCAAGGACACAATGTCACACAGCCAGCTTGTGACAGTGTGAGGAGGAGTACCCAGGCTTCCGCTGTGTCAAGTGGCCTCTGGGTAAGACCTAAGGTCTGGGCAGTGCTGTAGGGTGGGCTGAACCCCTCACCATCCTTGCGATAGAAGCAGATTTCAGCTCGGTGCTCCTGGTGGCCCTCCAGGGCCTTGTGCAGCTGCTGCAAGGCTGGCTCACTTGTCTCTGGGCCATAGAGGAAACGGCAGCTACAGGTTTTCTGCATGACCTCGGTGCGGCCGTAGCCTGTGAGTTCACAGAAGCCGTCAGAGCAGTAGACGATAGGAAAGCCCCGTGGACCCTGTGCGTTGGCCAGTAAGAAATTGCTGTCTGTGGGAAGAAGAGGTCAAGGTCAGGTTAAAGCCAGGAGAAGAGCTCAGCTTTCAGGTGGGCAGCACTTTGCCCCAGCGGTGGTCAGAGGTCACAGAGCCAGAAGCTTTTCAGGCTCCTGTGTGTGTCCTGGATCCCCCTTTGGTATATTCTGAAATGACATTAAGAAGAGATAGAGTAAAAGGACAGGGACCCAAAGGTGACCTGGAAGTGGGTCAAGGACTCCTGAGGGGTTGGAGAACGAACCCTAAGAAGTCATGTGGTTCATCCCCTTGCCTTTAAGCTGGTGAGCTATTACTGTAGGAGGCAGCATAGCTTGATGAGTAAGAGCATGGGCTCCAGCACCCACCCCTGCCACCTCTGGGTGACCTTGGGCAAGTTAATGAACTCTTGTGCCTCAGCTTCCTTGTCCATAAAGTGGGAAACAATAATAGTATCTTCCTCACATGGTAGCTGTGAGGGTTACATGAGCTACCTTAGGGAGAACAAGTTCTTGCACATTGTAAGTACTACACAGAGTGAGCTATAACCAAGATCCTCTCTGAAAAGGTGAAATGACCCCCCACATTCATACAGCTTGCAGAGACATAATACTGTCATCCTACTAGAGTGTGGGCAGGGCAGAGATTCTAGTGATATTACACCCATTTTGTTGATAGGAAACCAAAAGGCAGAGATTATCAAACTCACAAAACTCCTAAGTGTGAGGGGAGGGAGACAGTGATGAGCAGGGTCCTCATTCCCTGCCTTCCAGGAAAGATCCACTTTTTAGCACCTCTTCAGTTAATTTCAAAGCCCTGTCCCCAGTGTTCAAAGTCTGACAGAAGAGGGCAATGGGGTGTGGCTCCAGTAACTCTCAGCAGGAGAACCCAAGCTGGCTCCCTCCAGCTCCAGTGAGTAGGAGGCTGCAGTGGGGCTCCTGCCGGTGGTCCAGGGACAGAGTCTCAGTTGAGGATGGGGCCTGAGACACAGCAACTCCCGAGGTGCCAGGAGGGATGAGTGTCTGGGGGTGGAGGGGCTGATGGGAACACTGAGGGTACCCAGGAGGTGCTGGGCCCCGGGGCGCAGCCTCCTTCCATCCAAAGGTCCGTTGCCTCGGTGACGGGCGCTATGGAAACAAGGGAGGTGTGTTGGGGGGGAGGGTGGGGAGGCGGGTAGGGCCCCGGCGGCTCGGTTTCCGCCCTCGGGTACTGCTCCCCCACTCTCCAGATCTCGTCCAGGGTTCTCTAGGGGGACAGAAAGAGATCTCTCGGCTCCGGTGTAGGAATAGGGAATGGCGGGAGAAGAGGCGGGGAAGCAGGGATGCGGCTGTCCAAGGTGCTGAACCTGGAACCCAAGCTGGGGTGGGCAAGCAGGGAGTTCCCTTCATCACACGTACCGCACCCCCTCCCACCTCATCCTTCTCAGGCACAGACGCGCCACAGGTTCTATGGTGCCGATTTGGGGCGCGCGTGACCTTAATCCAAGGTGGATCCTGCCGGTCTGATCTTTTCTCTTTTTTTCTGGGGGGAGGGGGAGCTGGAGTCGTCCGGGAGTAGACCCTAGTGTGCCCGGCCACTTCGTCCCACTCCCGGGTCTCGGATGCCCCCAAACACGCCTCTAGCAGAGCTCTGCCCGGGAGTGGGCGGCTCCCAAGGCCCCTCCTCCGTTTTGCCGCACAAAGAGCCTCTCGTCTCTTGAGTCACACCCCCCAACCTTGGACCCCAGCGCTCCCGACCCTTTTCCCGCCTCCACTCGCAGGGCGCTTCCCATCCTGTTCCTTTACCTCGGCTCCACGAGTTCCCAGACCCTCAACTCTTCTTTCCCCTCGCCTCGGGTCTCGCCACATCCAGGAGACCCGAGCCGGCCCGGATGGAGACTTGGCTGCCAGTGTGAACCCCCAGTCCCCGCCTCGACTTCACTCACGCGTGCCGTCGAAGCGGGTGGCGATGGTATCCAGAAAGGTGTTTTGCGGGGCCAGCAACCCCTTCATGACCGGCATGGCCCCGGGCGCGGGTTCGAGGCGCGGCGCTGGAGGGCGTTCAGCGCGGCCAGGCCGGAGGGGGCGCGCTGCCGGCGGGGCCGGGGCGCCCCATGCGCCCGCCTGCCTCCTCCTCTCCCTCTCGCCGCCGCCGCCGCCTCTGTGCCCCGCGCCCGGTCGCGCTCAGCTCAGCTCGGCGACTCCTCGGTGCCCCCTCAACTCCCGCGGGCCGGATTCTTTCCCCCGGGTTCGGCCCGCGCCCGCCACGTGGCCCCGCACGGGGAGGGGCAGCCAGCAACACCCGCACCCCTTTCGGCGGCCCCCCTTAGGGAGGGGAGCGGCCCACGCGTGTCTCCAGGGAAGAGAACTCAGGACACGCCCACAGGGAGGGGGAAACCTGAATAGGTGGGGCGGGCCTTGTATGACAGACACGCCCTCCTTTCCGAGCGGCCACGCTCCCATGCGTGGTTCCCTGGCTTTTCCCCACCTCTCGCCCGTGGCTCCGCCCCACGGGTTTCCCTGCACACCGCCCACGCCGGGTTGGTTTCTGGTTTGCAGTGCCGCCTGCCGGAGTTGGGATGCTTTGCAGCAACCCCATATCCCTGCACTCCGGTCTGAGCCAGCAAAGTTTCAAGAAGCTACTTTCGCTAATGGGAGATTGAGAGGCTGGGAACCCCAACTCCTAGAATGCCCCACTTATCCCTCACCTCGTTCCTCAGTTTGCCTAGGGCACCCTGGCGAACTCTGCCTCTGAGCACAGCACGGTAGAATGAAAAAAAGTTTTGGAGTCGACTGACCCAATTCCAGTTACGCCACTAATTGTGCAACTTAGCCTGTCTGAGCTTCAATTTCATCTGTAAAGTGGAGCTAGTAATTTTTTTTAAGGATTTTTTTATTTTAATTTTTACCATTATGTGAATATTTGTATTTGAACAGAAGGGTTTGATTTATTTACATTTGTTGTTGTAATATCTTTCATCATATTTCTGTCGTTTCAAGCTTTTGTTCCTAAATTTTATTTATTTTGTTGTTGTCGAGAATATACACAGCAAAACATACTCCAATTCAACAGTTTCTACGTGTACAATTTAGTGACTGATTACATTTTTCGAGTAGTGCAACCATTCTCACCCTCCTTTTTTGAGTTATTCCTCCCTCACTGACATAAACTCACTGTCCCCTAGGTTCCCATGTAATCTTTCCAGTAGCTATTGTCAATTTGATCCCCTATAGATAGTTCTTGAAAGAGCGTAATGCGCAAGGCAGACCATTTTTTACCAGTCAAAGCTAAGCTATTGTTCAGTTTTAAGACGACTTAAGGGGATAGTTTTGATTTAAGGTTTAAAGATTATCTCAGGACAATAGTTTCAGGGGTTCATCCACCCTCTTCAGAAAGTCTAGAGTAGACGAAATTTGAAATTCCGTTCTGCATTTCTCCCCTTTTGATCAGGATTCTTTTTTTTTTTAATTGTACTTTAGATGAAGGTTTACAGAGCAAATTAGTTTCTCATTAAACAATTAATACTATGTTGTTTTGTGACATTAGTTGCCAACCCCACGACATGTCAACACTCTCCCC